GAAACAGCTCTTTGGAAAAACATCTCATGCAGAAAAGCTCTCAGTGGGGACGTGCGATGCCACGGCGCGTTGGAGAGGTTTGAGGAATTAAAACACTATTGGGAAAAACACCTGCAGCTTGTGTGCAAGGTGCACGCGTCCCTCTGCTCCTCGCCTTGCCCTCGATGTCCACGAAGGACACGTTTGAGCTCCGGTGCTCCAAGAAGCCCTCAGCATCCTCGGCAGTTCAGACAGACCCGCTAATGGGACGTTTCTCCCCAAAAACGAATCCCCAGAGCACTGCTTCTGTTTGAGGACACAGCAAGTAGGGTGAGATGGGAACAGCAGGAGTTTGAGATTAAATCTGCTCCTCTCCATCTCATTCCAAAGCCAAAAGGACCTGTTGCATCTGGTATTTGCTGGAGCTAATGAGCAGGGTGCCTATTTCAGCCTTCCTCCACCACTTCTTTATATTTCTTTAAAGATCTTTGGAAAATGCAAGAAACAATTTAGCTTCTAACCGTGTCCTTACCAAATCTAGCAGCTAGTTAGAAGGTTTGGCACAATGATCCCATGAGGATGCACCAAATAAATCCCAGAGCCGAGCAGCTCCCATTAATCCCCCTGGCAGCAGGTTTGGTGACATGCAAAGCAGGAAGGTGACCCTGGATTCCCAGGAACTGCAGGTAAATGCTCCATTACCAACATGGAATAGAGTGAAAAACGAAGCAGAAATCCTCACCTTCAGGCTCTGAGAGGGTCAAAGCTGCCCCTTTTAGACCACTCTTCATCCTGCACATCTTGCCCCCAAAATTATAATTCAATACGCTGAGAACCAAGAAAGAACCAATAACATTTGTCTGCATGATTTGGGTTAAAAATAATTGCTGCTCAGACATATCTGCCTGACATGAGCAATTAGGTAACTGGGTAGTTATAAGCTGTCGTTTCCTATGAGCACACTTTAACGTGGCCTTGCTAAGCTGACCTTTAGACCTGCTGTGGCTTCCCCTGCGCGCTGCTCCTGCGACCCATTTGTTTTTGGAGCTGGGCCGTGCGCTCGCGAGGCCTCGGGCTAGGAAAGCACCAGGGCGGGATGATCCCAGAGCCCGCAGCTGGCGCAGGGCGAGCAGGGACCCTCTGCAGAGCTTTGGGGGCTCCTCCGGTGGAAAACGTCACCTACTGTCACCGTCTGCACCAAGAGACATGGTCTAATGTGCGGGCATGAGAAGAGGGGGGACAGTCCAGGACCGGTGGGACAAACTAGTCAAATACCTTCTAATTTTAAGACTAAGTTGCCTAAAACTGCAGCCTGTCTGTGTCTGGGCCTGATGCTAAGGTGGCCTTTCCTTGGCTGTTTCCCATGGGGTGGACGCAGCTAAGGGCCCTCTTCTGAGATTGCTTCATCTGAGAGTTTGTCTCTTTTCAGGGTAGGCCCAAGAGCTCCTAATAGGATTTAAGGACCAGTTTATCTAATCGAGAATGAAATCCCACGGTGAGACCGTATCAAGGAGAGATTATCTGGCATGCTCAGAAGAAGAGATCACAAGATTATCCCAAAACGGGGCTTGTTTGTGCTGAGATAACGACAGATAATTGGCAGCCCCCTTTGCATGGTTGAGTCACCCGGAGCGAGGGCTGCAGGCAGAAAAGCAGCAGCTTTTCCAAAAGAAAGGCCTGACCCAAGGCCTGACACGGACTCAACGGGAAGGAAAAACTTCTGGAAAGGATCAGGGCAAGGCCATGGATTTATGAAGTAGCTGTTCGCCTGACTCTAATTTTTAAAGCGTTATTATCCTTTTAGCAGGGCTGTGGGGTAGATGGAAGCCAGAGCTTCGTGATGAGGAGCAGCTGAGCGCCACGTGCACAGCCCTGCCTTCCACGCCGCAACACGGTGGGGACGGCCACACAACACTGGGTGCTCTGGGTGACCCTGCGTGTGCAGTGGGTTGGACTACACAATCTCTAGAGCTCCCTTCCAACCTTAAGGATTTTATAATTCCATGATTCTACGCCCGGACTTGACGTACGAAGCAGCAGAACCCAGGAAGAAAAGCAGCTCCAGTGACAAACCCAACAGCCTCCGGCTTTTCCAGCACTCTGGCTCTCACACTCCTCCCCAAACGCTCCACAGGACCATGTCCTTTCCATGAGGAAAAGGCTGGAGAATCCCCATTTATCAAGCTATCGGTTATATATCACACCCTTGCATCCTAAGGAGCCCTCCGCACAGTTGCAGCCCGCACACCTTCCCAAGAGCAGAACCGGAGCAATCCGACTACGAGCATTCCCGCTCGGCGCGAACCGCGTCTAATGGAGCTGAAGCTCGGTGGGACAGCTAATGAGTGCTTGTTAGCACAGCCCATGGACCATTCAATCAAGCATACAGGGCAACTAATGGGGATTGATGGCCAAAACACAACGTGAGGATTTACCTCTTCAGATAAATAGGTGATGGGTTGGTGATTGGGTTAATCTTACGTTTCTATGGGAAAATTTATACCTAGCTAATAAAAATAGGAGATGTGAATAATTGCATCCCTAGGTCTGCGTGTCACTGCCTTTGCTATCCTGGCAGTAGGTGCGTTTCCCTTGGGAGCCGGGAAATGCGGCTCACTGAGGACCCAGACACTCATCTTCTCAAATGTTTGGGAATGCTTTGGGAGAGGAACCCTCATTTCGGATGAGCACATGGGGACGATAATGAAAAATGTTACACCTGAGATGCCGACGGGCTGCAAGAGGTGCTGATACAGACGGGGCATTTGCTGCCTCTTCCCTAATATCGAGCATGGGCCTAAAAATCACCCCTCTTGTCCATGGCTTGAGCCCTCCCTGTAAAGCGGGTGAAGGTTCGCACAAACCTGCTCCCAAAGTCCCAACTTGTCCTGCCCCATCTCCTCCCATCAGCAAGATCTTCCCAGGATCTTCCCAAACCTGAGGTTTTCCCACCTTTCCCCTCGAGCTGGTGAGGGATGAAGGGGAACAGGGGCACCAGACAAGCCCTGTCCCAAACCTCTGTCTCCCAGTGCCTGCTTTCCTTTCCGTTCCCCCCTTTCCTTCCCTTCGAAAGGCCTCCGATGGGATCACAGATGGCAATTCCTGCCTGATGGATCCTAATGGCATTACTGGTGACAGACCAGATGTCCAGGGAGGAAAAATGCTCTTTTTAACCCCCAAATTCACCAAGAACCTCACCTTTATAGGATTGGGGGGGAGTGCAAAGGTACCTTCCCAGCATACACTTCCATCCCTCCATGCCTCGTTTTCCTTTCTGTTCCAAAATGCCTAAATCTGACACCGAACGGCTCCCATTTTGAACAGCAACAGTGTAAAAACGCTACAAAGATCTCACGTGGTGCTCTGCGCCACCACTGGAACGTGTCCTATGACCACAAAGAAATACCACTGATTTGGGGTTACTGAGCGAACCTGAGCACATTTCCCTGCCTCTTTGGAGGCAAATGCAAACGAAACCAAAGCCACAGACACAGAGGGAACGGTCAGAGAGACTCACGCCCGCAAATCCCACGTTTCCCTTCTTTAAATCCAACGAACGCAAGCGCAGGAAGGTGCAAATTAATGATTATTAATTAAATCCCCATGGGGCAAGCGGGGGACACTGTGGCCGGCACCAGGTAACTCCTTCCCCCTAACACTTCACAGCCAGAACGTCGCGGTTGGATCGCTCTTGGAGATGGGAAGAATCCCGGCAGCTTTTGCAGCTTGGACAAAGCTGCGCTCGGGGAGGGAGGGGACGTCCCACAGTACAACATGCACACACGGAGAAATCCCGCTGCTTTATGGGATGACAAGTGCGAAGCGCGAGCAAGTAACAAAAGAGGAATATTATCTGACTTTAAACGTAACGTATGGTGGCGGCAAATCCCTGGGAAAACCAGGAGCGGGGCTCCCTGCGCAGATGCTCTGCTGCCATCAGCTGGCAAAGGCGCTGGGGCGCCCAGGATTCTCCCCGATCCGCAGGGAGCTGAAGCAGGACTTGAATCCGCAGGGAGCTGAAGCAGGACTTGGATTGCTCCAGAGCCGCACGCCGCTCTCAGAAAGGAGAGGGAACGGGGCCCCATCGTCTTCCTCAGCCACGGGATGCTCCGGAGGCAGGAGCTGCTGTTACGGGTCCCTCACACAAGTGTGGAGCAGAGTGCTCTTTTGGTCAAGTGACTTCCCCAGAGGGGAGAAATCCCAAGTTTTTTGCTTCTCACATTTAATTTCTGTTTCTCTCATGCTCCTTCCAACCTCAAATTCTAGCAGTGGAAACGGCACAGCCAGAAAAGCTCACGATAATTCTTTGGAGTGTTTCACCAGTCTGTTTGATGGGTACCCCAAATTTCTGTTCATCTATCTACATCTTGCCTCCCTCTTGAGGGTTTTTATCCCTCAGGGGATTCCTGTGGTGCTGCTGATGATCACATGGAAGCAGGGGAGGGAACTAGGATAGCAGGAAAGGGGACTGGTGGACTTTTTTTTTTTTATCCCCTCAAACAGGATGGGATGATTAAGAGGCAACTACTCTACATCTCAAATGGGATGGGATGATTAAGGAGCAATCAGACTAGGAAAAAGCAAAGAGTTCGATGCTGCCAGGGCTGGCTCCACCACCCAGAGCATCTAAGCCAAGGCAGGTCTGCCCTGCTCTGCTATAGCACAAAGCCAGAGCCCCACAAGTAGTTCAGCCCCTGGAGGGCTCCTCTTGACAACACAGGCTTAATTTAAAGCAGGATCCATGAAAACCACAGCAAAACGCTACTATGGGTTTTTAAAGGGATCAATGTAGAGAGCAGAAGGAAAAGGGGCTGTGATGCTTCTGTGGACAAAATATCATCACTTGATGGTATCGCAGCATGTAACAAAGAGGAACCAGAGCAGGTGCTGGAGGAGCCAGGATGGTCAGGATTAGGTTAGGACGTGAGGAACTCTTCTGCACCCAGCAGCCCTGGGGCAATTTAGGGAATTCACTTTGCTGAAGGCACTGCTCCCCCCAGAACTGCTCTGCTGTCCCACAGGGCTTTTCCTGGGACCACTCAGAAGACTTCCCTTCTGTTCACGCTGCCAGGTAAGACTGCCCGAAGCACTGACAGCATCACGGACTGGCACCACCTGGCACCCGGCACTGCAGATGCTGCAAATCGTCTTCTTGGGAAAGGGGTAAACCTCTCCTTTGGGAAAGAGGGGGAGAGCACTGAGGTCCTTCTTTCCCCTGGACATTCCTCCCTTCCCAGGGAGGATTTGGCAGAGGGAGCAGCCCGAGAGCCCCCTGCTCTGTGTCCTTGCAAATCAGGTGTCGCTGCCCAGGCAGAGCCGGTTGCCCTGGCTCGGATGGAGCCCCTGACCTAGGGCTGAACTGCTCTATATCCCAGACCCAGTCCCCCACGGAGCTGATTTTCCAGCATGGCAGATCAAAGACCGCTGTAAGGAGCAAATCTATCAAAGGCTCGGCACCCCAAGTTCGCCCCGGCTCGCTTTCATGTTCCCTTTTAACAAGCATGCCCCTTCCCGTCGGTGAGCAAGCGCTTTCAAACAGATGATTATCACATTTCCCTATTAACGGGAAAGATCGGCCAAGCATAAATCTGAAGAGGTGCCACTATCTGCACATTGCATGTATCACGTCAGAGAAAAAAAACACTGCTGGGCAAAGCCATCCCAGAGTGACCACATCTAGAATTAGCAGCTGGTTTTAACTCTGGCAAAAAGACAAGTACCAGCTCATTACTGCATCTGCCAATAGAGTGCTTACCCATTAAGAAAGGGTGATTTCTTTCTGTACATAGTGAGCCTGCCTCTCAAGCAACACCATTTCTTAGCAGAAACTGTGCTCGTGTTAGTGGAGATGTTCCTGGATTTCACCTGAACAAGGTCCTTCTGGCTGGTCATGCATGTGCTACTGGATATTCTGGTCTCGTGGTGATCTAGAAAGAGCCAGAAAACTGTCATCTAACAGGAATTAACAGAAAGCAATTTTCTTCTTCAAGGTGTTTGAGTGAAGTGAAAATTTCTGTTATTTCTCCCTGTGAAGTGCCTTATACAAATCCTACCATCGGCCCAAAGGGTTGCTGGAGTCTCCAGCATTGTTTAACCTCCTTCATTTCCCACCTCCCACGCTAACTGGGATGCTCCCAAGATGCTCCATGAACTACCTAGTATTTGGGATGCTCTAAAAGCCACTGAATTAGCATGCAAATATGAGATGTAACCTTGTTTTTAGCTGAGAACCACAACAATTCAGAACCAACCGCATTTTGTTTTGATTTTACATAAATTCACCAATGTAAGCGGCAGAGAAATACGATTCCACATATTCACATTTCCAAAACAGTTGCTGCTTTTACTTGAGCAAAGTATTTTGTATGTTAGAGGCCCAACTACCTTAAGGTAGTTCTATTCCGCATTTCTGTTTCCAATAAATCTCTCAGGACAAAAATATCCCCTGCAGCATATATAAGGAAAGGACAAAAAGGCGTTAAATCCTCAGAGAGGGAGAGGGCAGGGGGAGAAAAGAGATAAATAGTTTACTTCTATTATCTTTACCATATGTTCTATTCAGACTGGATACACATAAACAGCATGTAATCTTCAAGCTCAGCTTTAAACTCTTTGAAGTGACCTGACCATACTACTGATTTATTTCAAACTAACCTTTCTCTTTGAACCCTAGGTCAAGGTTAATTCTATAATAAAACATACCTTATACAGCTGGCTTTTCCAGTGTTGCTAGCAAGTAACGAACCCCTCAGTCATAAGCATTTGTTTTACTGAGTGCAGTATTGTATTTCTATTTTCCCTTCCCTATATTAATTTCCTTCACAGACCCTAGTTAAGGAGAAAAAAAATCTCTTTTCCGGTCCATGAGATCAATTTTAAAACACACTGGAATTAAATGAAGACATTTAAGCCACATTTCTATGCTGAAATGCATCCACTGGCACCAGAAGCTCTATTTATTACCATGTATGTTAAATAATCAGACCTGCAATTTCATAAGATGCTCTACAGCTACTCAAATTCTCCCACGAGCAATGACCCTTTCAGAACCTTCGACGTTCATTTTTGCACTGAATCACAGCGAATCACTAAGGATAGTTTTTATATCTAGAAAAATAAAATTGAAAAGGGAAATATATTTTAAAATAAATTTTTTATACATACATATTCATATATAAAAGAATATATATATGTGTGTGTATATATATCATTAGACCATCCAGATTTGCTCACACTAGAAGACTGTATCTGGTGTTGCTAATATCAAAGGAGAACTGCACTAATAATTTTAATGATTTTAATGATTTTAATTTTAATAATTTTAATAATTTTAATAATTTTAATAATTTTAATAATTTTAATAATTTTAATAATTTTAATAATTTTAATAGGAAGGCAGTGGTCTTTCGCTAGTGTTGGTCCTGATGTATGCTCACACGTTCTGCAAGCCGAAGCCTACATCAGGTCCTGCACCACGGGCAAACGAAGAGGCATCTCCCTTCCATTGGCACCAAAATGCTTTCAGTCCTTCAGTCTCTGGTTTAGCGGTCGCTTTGTAAAACACGTGTTTTAGTTGAGTGTTAGATGAATTTAACCAGGCAGCACTTGGGGTCAGCCCCAATGCAGCAAACTTGTTATCTCATCAATATCTGTCATTGCCTAAATCAGCTGAGCTTGCCGTAATGGAACCACCATCCATTTGAGATCCCGAAGGCCCACATCAGTTGGGGATCAATGCGCGCAGCATCTTAACTGTTATTATGCCAGTCACGTCTCTGATCTATTTCGGGTTTCTTCACACCAGGACAAGTCAAGAAAACATCTACACCTTGAGAGATTCTCTTAAAATAATATAAAGAAGTAGTGGCACGGAGAGCATCTCTAAAATTTGTGGCTCCAAATAAACTCTTTTCCCTTTAGTTCTCCCCATTGGCACAGCACCAGGTTGACATTCACTTCTGGCTTCTCTACAAGGACCGCTGCCTTCCCCACTCCTTAAATACTCACTGGGAAGCCCAGTTCTCCACAGGGAATTCCTAGCGCCACGTGGAGGGCCAAGTGCATCCCGATCTACCCTAAGAGCACAGCCATGGTGATACTACAAAATAAAAAATATGGCTTGCTGCCTGTCACACAGGGTATCGAGAGCTATTGGCAGCAGTGGGCGATGATGCCTTGCTGACAGCAAATCTACCTCAAAGCAAAACCTATATAGATGGGATTGAGAGAAGCTGGAACTGATCCATAGTGATGGATGGTTCTAGATCTCATTCCCTGGTAATAGGAATGTGTATCCATAGTCATCCAAGCATCCTGATATGAGAACGGTCAATTGCTGATAGATGCCAGTGCGGACTGACCACAAAAGTGGTCCAAAAGGAGCAATCTGGATGCTGTCTGACAGTGAGGACTTTGCAAGCGGGACTGTTATTGAGGCCAATACCTATTCATAACCGTCCCTATAGAAAAGGGAGCAGAGAGGCCTCCAGATCAAGAGGAACTGATACATATCAATGGGTCACCAGATTTTTCTAGATGTTGTTGCTTTATCAAACGTCTGTAAAATGACCCTCACCAAGGTCCCTCCCAACTGCCACTGCCCCCAGGCTCTGATGCCTGAAGCGCAAGACTGCTCCCACAGCGAAAGCTGCACTTTGCTGTGTGAAAATGCACGAAACCCACGGCTATGGGGAGCGATGGAAATCAACACTGTCTTCTGCTGCCTGAGAGCAGGCGCCATCTTCCCCCGGCCCCTCTCCCTTCCTCAGGCCAGGGCGCCATCTTCCCC